GGAAAAATAGTGGTAGATTGTATTGTGTTTGTGACCGGCAAGATAAATGAAGCAGGTGTGTGAATTAGTTGATTCATGTTAATATCTTTCTGTAACTACTTGTGTTGATTTTTAGTGAATCGGTTGTGGATTCTTGCAGTGGTAGTTCAGTAGGTGGTGGTGTTATTGGGTTCAACTGGAAGTGGGGGTTCAACAAGTGTGTTAGTGGTTTCTTATTGCAACAGTGGTGGTGGTGCTAGTGTTCAATATGTGGTGGTGTTAGTCGTGAATGGAATGGCGTGATGAGAACCAGTCGACAAGATGGAGAATTGGGATATAGGAGGGTGTGTGGTTCCGACAGTGGAGAGGCAATATGTTGTAGGCAGCAGAGTTTGAAAATACAGTATATCATTCTAGCCGTGGATGTTTTGGGTTTGATTTTGGGATAGAAATCTGAGTGAGGTGGCAAAAATGGTTATGTTGGTGGTGTGGATAGCGAAATTCTAATGGTGCCGCCTTAGATGCGACTGTGGTATCAACATCGTGGCGACGATTTTGGGGTAAGGGGTTGGAATGGGTAAGAAGCGGAGGTGGGGAAAATGATGTGGGTTTTTTTTTTTTTTTTTTTTTTTTTTTTTAGCCCTATTTGACACACATTCTTTGCAATAAAATATATTTTTAAATAGTGATTTGACATTATTTCAAACACACATTTTTTAATAAAATAATATTACACATAAATCTAAAATATTTTCTTATTTTTGAATCACATATTTCTCATCAATATACTGTTCAAAAATACATTCTTATGAAAATAATGTTGTTCAAACAAGGACATGATTTTTATTTTTTTTATTTTTTTGAAAAAATGGAAATTGATTATGTTACCCTTTTAAAAATTGATCAAAATAAGTCAAACTCTAATTCTTTAGTTAGCTAACGGTCAAACCACCTGTTTTCATCCATTTAGACTTTAAGTGCTAATTTTTGAAAGGTTTGATATCCATGATGGTACAAATGAAAGGTTTGAACAAAGTCTGCAACTAAATGAAAGGTTTAATACCGTGGCCGCAATTTTTCCAATATTTTAAGCTTAACCAAAAGTATTTGTTGTTAGAACTATAGTGTTTGCATATTTGTGGCAGCACCTGGTAAATTGGGCTTAGCTGTATGAAATATTTAATGTTATGGTGAAGCTGAATGTCAAATTCGTATAGTCTATAAATGTCGAGGAATCCAATGTAGTATGGTTATACCTTGACGAGGCATAAAAGCATTGGATTTATTTTCATGGAAAATGATAGAGGATGGATAAATCTATCATGGGCAGGAAAGCAAAGTGCACGAAAAATTTTCACGAATATCATAAGGATAAGTTATTTATTAGCTCTTTATCTATCATATGAAGCTTAATCTCTAGAAGTGTGCATTTGGGGCCACCTTAGACAAATTTATTAGGTTCTTGGTTAATGAAAGAGGGATCGTGGCCAATTCAAAATAAATAAATGAATAAAAAGCAGGGCTTTTCTGGAGATGAATTATCCACAACAGTCGAGAGAGGTGCAAAGTTTGACCGAAAGATAATGGCCATCAATTACTTCATCTCGAAGTCTAAAGAAAAGTGTCTCCCTTTCTTTCAAAGCCCTCAAGTGAGGGAAAAAGTTTGAATGGACTTTGCAATGTGAAGAGGCCTTTGTGTCCCCAAAGTGACACCTTTTACCAGGCTCCTCTATTGCTCAAACCAATGTAATGATAAATCTCGTTAATCAATTTGACCATCACAATAAGGGCCACTAGTGCTATAATTGTCAGTACCGAAGGATAGCAATAATTGCATCCTATGTGATTAAAGCCCTTTAGGATGGCGAGATGAGATGCTCACCTCAAGGAAAATTGAAGCCATATTTTAAGTCTATACCATTGAGGTATTGACCAATTTTACATTGAGGTAGGTTCTATAGAAGCCGATCCGTCTAGAAGATTAGTTAAATGGACAAACAAACTCGTCTAATTTGACATCCATTTCTGATTGAGAACTGCTATCAAGTGTTAGGCATTGATAGACTTTGTTGCCATGTGTTATCGAGGGACTGGTAATGCTATAAATGTCGAAGAGCCTAGGTCAACAAAATAGAGGTAATGCCAGTTGTTTGTTGACGAATCATAATGAGAATTTGGGTCAGGAGCATGGATGATTATGATAGTATAGGAGGGCCATCACCTAAAATGCACTCTAAGGCTAAGGTTCGGCAACGCAATAGTGCTACAATTACAGAGGAAAAACATACAGACATTTCACAGAATACACACATTAGTGAAGACCACCTCAATAAAAATTCACATGGGCCCACCCTCATATGTCTTCCCTATTAATACTCTATGAGAAAATGCCCTGTACATTGGGCATTTTCCTTAGCTACAAAGCTTTGAGTAATATAGTTGAATATGAGGCATTGATGACCAGGCTGAAATTGGTGAAGGAAATAAAGGTCAACGACGACTCCGGTTCATTGCGAATCAAGTGAATGGCAGCTTCATTGTCGTGGACAAGAGCATTGCTGCTTATCTGAAGCATGTCATCAACTTATTGCTAAACTTTGACAAGTTTGAGAACCTTCATGTCCCTTGTATGAAGAACGCCAGCTCCAATAGCAACGATTTTGAGCTACTGTGGATGATTCCAATTTAATGCCTCGAAAATCCCTCCACTGATGCCAAAGATCTGGTGATGGTGAGTGGATGAAAGAGCTCTCGGATTACTCGGTAGACCAAAGGTTCCCATTCGACTCCATCAGGCCATGAAGGTGAAGCTTTAAGCATATCGGTTCATAGTAATGGACGAAATCCAGTTTAAAAGAGGTTTCTCCACTCTCTTACTACGATATCTCTGAGGAAAAGAGACGAATACATACTGCATGAGGTACATGAGGAGAAACCCTGCCGAAATTGGGAGGAAAAATTATCTTTGACTTTGAAAAATACTATGGATAGGTAAACAGTTGCAAAATTGAAGAGGATCCAATACTGATTTCAATTAAGATCCATTCGAGATTCTATACGTGTTGGGCAACTTAAATTTCTTCATTACAATACAAGTACAATCATACTATATGTACACTTTATTTGACATCAAACTTGACATTATTCCACGTGTCGCAACATGAGTGCCAAATTTTAAAATAACACACACTTTTCGGTCCGTTCACTTTTGAATTTCCAAGTGATGTAAAATTCCATGATTGTCACACAAGTAATCTTAATTTCATTGCAAGACATTACTCTAATCCACATGTTTGGAAACTATTTTAATTTCTATATTTAAAAAACTTATGCATATTAGATTCTACAATTTCAGTGTGTTAACTACATCAAAATATTACTTTATTCTTACCATTTGCGACTCCTTTCAATGTTTTTTTTATTAGTTTAGGAATTTAATACGATTTAAATTAAGTTACAATTGAAAAACAAAAATGAATATTGGGTGAGAGATGAAAGATTGTGAGAAAATTGTAGAAAAGAAATATGAATTCATAACCAGTTTTTTTTTTTTTTAATAAAATTTAGAATTTGGGGATTGGATTCGAAAATAAAAGAGAATTCAACAATTCTTTTACTTTTTTAATAATCAGGTCTATGAAGCCGGCACTTATAAGTTGGGGGACTAGAAAATAAACTTGGTTCAATTTATTCATTATGGCGGGTACCAGTGAGTTGAATTGACTATGGTTTTATCGTTCTGGCATGGATAGCCGACTAATTTTGATACCACTATTGTCCGACTAACCTGTTCATGTTTATATACTCCCTCTGTATTATAAAGATAATTCTTTTTTTTTTCATACAGATTAAAAAATTTTAATTAATGTAGTTAAAATTATAAATTTGATTATCATTTTTTCTAATATACTCCTACGTTAAAGCAATCAATATTCAAGATAATTAAATTATGCAAGAAATAATCAAGGTAATTAAACTAGTCTTGATACAAATCATTGTTTAATACAAGAATCAAAGCATTTAACATTACATAGTCATCCAATAAAAATACAACTGAAGAAATATCATGGAAGATGAATTTTTTTTTTTTTTTGGTTTTTCATTTATTGTTCCAACTACAACTGAATAATGTAGTGGTTTAATTTGTGATAACAAAGCACATTAAACTGGGACGTATTAGGAAACTAATATATTAACTACACTCTCAAACAAGAAAAAAGACTATAATTTGCGACATATGTAAAAAGAAGATAGGACTTTCTTTATAGGATGAAGTGAGTACTATTTACCATCATTGGTGTTAAATATTAGTTGAGGTTGCAATAATATGACATTAGCCTGTTTGATTCTCATTTTTTATCAAAATACTTTTTTTCTCTCTTCTTTTTAACCACACATTCTTCATTAAAATAATATTACATATAAATAAAAAAATTTCCTTATTTTTCATCCACAAATTCTCTATCAATCTACTATTCTAAAATTCATTATTTCATAAAAATAGGTGTCAAACACCCTCTTGATAAGAAATATAATTATATGAGTAGCTTAATTCTTTTTTTTATTCAACCTATCACATTTAAGGTGTCTAAATATGGAAAAGTAGCTTTTGTGTTTATTATTATTATTATTATTATTATTATTATTATTATTGTGCGCGCGCGCACGAATTGGATGAAGCATCAAACGCCCCCAGGGCACATCTCCAAGTGGTAAAAGAGGAGAGTGGAGAAATCCAGCTTTGCTTGAGACTGCTGCGTCAAGGGTTCGAATCCTGAAATATGGATTTGGCTCTTAGGTAAGTGCAAGTGTACAAGCAGCCTTCCACCCTGTACCCTTGGAGGCATAACCTGCGATTTACCTTCCTCACGATATTCCAGGACAGGGGTGATGGGGGACCCTTAAGGTTAGGGTTTAACCTTTTGGATGAAGCATCAAATACTAAAGCGAACTGTTACATTTAAGGTTTGTTGATGTCTAAATATGGCACATAAAACTAGGCCCCTGTTGAATTGAATTGTCCCCTCATCAAATGCAAAAAAATTTCTACACATACTTGAAAAACTAAAGTCTCCATTGAAATTCGCACCATTCAAGCTTAGCTGCAAATGTACTGGATGATCAATCGGTGCATTTATACACCACCATACCCTTCCATTCCAATTTATAACTCTGTGTGCATATATAAGGATTCATATAGAAAAAATGGAGCATAAAATTGGTAATTGTCGAAAGAGGAAGTAGAATAGGAATGAGAACAGATATAGTTATAGCGACTTTCTTAGCATTGCTTTTGATTAGTTCTAGCTTGGTAGAATCAACAACTTATCCAAAAGATAATCACAGTCAGACTAGGGAAGAAGAGGAAAAGAGAACGAGTCGAAGAAGTGGTAGCGCCAGCCGTGGAAGAGGGAGGACGAGGAGAGGCAGAGGTGGTGGTGGAAGATCGGGAGGTGGATCATCTAATTGTGATCCTTTGTTTCAATACTTATTTGGAAATTGTGGTCAATGGCCATTCCCACGTGAGGGGCCTAACAACCCGTTTCGGCCTAGGCCGAGGCCGTCGCCTCGCCGAACTCCGCCCCTACCACCGGGACTGCCGCCTCTAGTCCCTTCTCCTCCATCAATAGTGCTACCACCACCTTTGGTACCTTCACGACCACTTATACCTCTACCGCCACCTTTAGTAACTTCACCACCACCTATACCTCTACCGCCACCTTCACCGCCACTCATACCCCTCCCGCCACCTTCTTCACCACCTCCGGTGGCTGCCTCACCGCCACCGGTAGTGTCTTCACCTCCACCAGCCTCTCCTCCGCCTGCTTCTCCCCCACCAGCCTCTCCTCCACCTGCCTCTCCCCCACCAGCCTCTCCTCCACCATCTCCACCACCTACGCTATCACCTCCACCCCCTACACCACCTCCACCCCCATTAGTTCCCTCACCACCACCTCCGTCAGATTCCTCCCCACTTCCACCTGAAATTCCCATAGTATTCCCATCACCGCCGCCGCCGCTGGTTGCATCTCCACCACCTGACCAACCAGTCTTTCCATGGTTCTCACCTCCCGATTCAATCTCAAATTCTCCAGAACTGCCTATATTTTCTCCTCCACAAATACCTGACTTTCTTCTCACACCACCACCTCAGATAGACGTGCCACCATCTGAAGAAACTCCGGCACCACCGTTATTCCCCATTTTTCCCTCGCCACCAGATGAAACTACGCCGGAGCCACCTCTTTTCCCAATATTCACACCACCACAAGAGCCACCAGAAGTCTTCCTCCCGCCACCGAATGAATCTACGCCAGAGCCACCACTTTTTCCTATATTCACACCACCACAAGATCCGCCTGAATTGCCATTCACCTTCCCACCGATCACATTCAGTCCTCCACCAACTGATCCAGGTGCAATTACAACTCCAATAGTATTTCCGATCCCGCAAACACCGGATTTGTTCTTGCCACCACCCGTGATTGATAATCCCGATATACCGCAGACTCCGGTGCAGCCACTGCCATTTATAACTGCACCGCCATCACCGGAGGAGCAGCCAAAAGCGCCGTCGCTTCCATTCTTTCCTCCTGTTGAGTTTCCACCAAAACCCGAATCACCTCCATCCAAGGCATAAATTCTGTATTTCTAGCATGCAAGTGTTGTTATTTATTTATAGAATATTGTTTCATCTGTCCCCAATCTAATAGAAAAACTGCAACTTGACTCCGTGTTTTTATTTTTTCACCATTATTAAGCCCTTTGTTTTGTTTTGTGGGGATTAAAGTCAAAGTTAAAGTCAACAATTGATTTTAAATACATATATTCATGAAATTCGTAACTTTTCAATCACGCGTTTCATTCTCTTTTATAAAAATTTAATTTAATCCCCATTAAATAGGGTTCACACTTTTAAATTTGTAGCAAATCGACCAACTTTTAAGTTTGCTTCAAGTTGGATTGAAATTCTAAGGTGGCTGTTAAATATATATTTTATGATTAAAACCATGTTTAAGGATGAACTCATTAATTTTTTTATTCCCCATAATGAAAATTCGATACCAAATTCTCGTAAAAACAAGAACCTAATTTTTACCTTTTTAGTTTTCTCCCATGAGATCGAGAATTGATTATGAAATATTTTATTAATATTATGTTTTTATTTCTATTAATTTCTTTTATTTTGTTAATGTTGAGTTCAAAATCTATTGAAATCTAATATGTCACACCAGAATTTATAAGAAGTTCATTATATATATCTATAAGTTTGAAATCCATTCATATTCTTAATAGATACTTCTAATTGGCGAAATCTTTAAAAAGCACTAGTTATTAAAGACATAGATTAAATTGTTATAAAATCTGCAAAATCTAAGTTGAGGATACCTAGATTTTAATGAATTTTTAAAATTTAAGTTGATAACACAAGTTTATGCTAAGCAACAATAATATGATACGTCGATTCAATAAATATAATTAGCTTATAAAAATAATTTTAAAAAATTAACTAACATCAACCTTTGATTGTCGAATTTGGTGTCATATGGGCTTTGGAAATCTTAAGTTGGGTTCAATAAGAGCATCACTAGGCCCAATATGTTCATCAATGAAACAAACAACCCTAAAAGAAATTTCATCCGCCGATCAAACAAATATAAATTAATTAGTAGCCTATAATGGAAATTGGTCCCAACATATATCTCTCATAATAATAATGGGATGGCATGAACCCTATTTTTCTCAAAAAATCCGTTTTGAAATTGTAAAATATCAAATTATCGTTGAAAAATGTATTTTGATGGGAAAAATTTAGCTCAAACAAGGGCAATATGTTCTTTAAACGACAAACAAGAAAGAAGAATCAAGAATCTCATTATTTGACCCAAAAAAAAATTAATTAAAAAAATAATAAATAAAAGTCAAAGTTCCATTAAATTAAAAAAAATATATTAAGAAGTAGGGCATTCATGCATGCATCAAGGTGCCTAAATTCTTGTTGCATGCCACATTAATAATTACAACCTAAAAAGGTCAAAGGCTTGGATAAACAAAAAAGGCTCTTTGTTTGGTTATCATTTTATTTTGTTAAAATTTTTATTTTCAAAAAATATGTGATTAATAAGTATATAATGTTTATAGATCTTACAAAATGTATGATTGAAATTAATATTTTGAATGTGTTTGATTTCCATTTTTTTTAAAGTACATTTTTTTCTTTTCAACAGCACATTTTTTTAATAAAGTAATATTACACTTAAATCCAACTTTTTTTTAAATTTTTTAACTATACGTTTTCCATCAATCTACAATTCTAAAATACCTCATTTTTAAGAAATAGAATTTTAGAAGAAGAAAATGACACCCAAATGGAATCTATGATTCGATTCAATTAGGTCACTCAATTTAATTTGTTTGACATTTATGAATAAAATATCTAATTTTGATATTTTTGAGGGCATTAAGGTTTAGATAGTAAATTACGGCAAATTTGGATTCTTTCTTTTTTGTCCCTAACCTTTTACAAATAGGCCTATTCATGCATATTAATGAATTCCATGCATTTTTCCGTCAGTCAACTCAATTGAAACCGTGTGCTTTTGAAAATTAAGAAGGGCAAATTGTCATTTAAATAATGAAAAAATCCAAGGAAAATAAAATAATTAAAATTAGATTTTTAGTAGATTTTTGATAACAGTTAATTAAAAGTGTGGTGAAAAAGTTGTGCATCTTATTAAATATATAGTTAAAATAAATTGTTAACTTTAACTTAATGTTTTAATTTACTCTTTAGAATTTACTTTTTACCCTCTAAAAATCAGACAGAAATAGCCAATTAAATAAGTACATATCTACTACATTTATAATTTCAAATAATTTTGCCCACAATAATGTAGAAAAATAAAAATGATCGAAGCAAGAGTTTAACTCTTTCCCTTTGAAACGATAATGATCCACACTAGTGTTGACGATTCTTTGACACTCACCTCCTAAGATATAACGACCTCAAATTGTAATAGTAACACTTCAAATTACAAAACTCTACTAATGTTATGATCTTTTTGAACCGAAAGAGGACTTAAAATATGAAAGAAAATAATACTCGGATTGGAATGAGAACACAAAATAGTGCAAAAGATAAGAGAATAATAATTTTTTCATAGGAAGATTTGGAATGATTGAAATCCTTGATTTTTTGGGCTTCATATAGAAGTTGAAAAGTTGTGTGTCAAATGACACAACCCATGTCCAACAATTTAGACAGATAGGTTTGAAAAATTCCACCTTCTAGAAGCTAGACACATGTCAAGCACATAAACTTTAGGAGTTAATAAATAATATAAGTAAAGTATATTATTTAATTTAATAAAAATTATATAATTATATATACAGTCTAGGGCACACGACAAGTCCAATTCCAAGCCCAAATCTAAAACCACGACCAGGATCTTGCCTGACCCCTCCAACGGGTGCGGACTTGTTCAACCCACTAACATGTAACCTCTCTCCTTTTTGAAAATTATTGGTATCCATTGGATCAAAAAAATGTCAAACTCGACTTATATAAAGAAATCTTTTACCTTCTAGTTTTTTTTTTTCTGTGGGATTGGATACTTTTTTCAATTTTCCATCAATTTTAACTTTAACTTACTATAACTTTAAGTGATATTTTCGATCTTAATTTTTCATTCATCCGAAATTGATTTTGAAAAAAATAAATATACTATGTTAATCTACTTGTGGGGTAGAACACACTTGATCAAAGAAAATCTCGAGTCAATAATTGGAACCGACTCAAATAATTGGTTAAACCAACTCTAGAATTATCAATTTCGAACAACAAGACTCTAAGGGTTCGTTTGATTCCAGGAATGAAATTTAGGTGAAAATAAAAGGAATTTCAGGGAATTGAATTGTCCATAACTTGTTTTAATGGGAATTGTCAATTAAATGTATTTGATTAGTATAATTTTTTACTTGGAAAATATTGAAATTTTGGATTTTTTTTTATTTTCATTTGACTTTGTTTTTCATGAAAATTGTCTATTAAAAAGATAGAATTTGTTTCAATTATGTATAAAATTTATTTCAATTGTAAAAAAAAAAAAGGAAAATCAAAAACCACCAAACTCATGGGAAAAACAATTCCTCAAAAAGGTAGAAAAAGGGGTTACGTGAGGGTGTTGCCAAGAAAACCAATTGTCAAGAAAATTTGGTCAATCAAATATGTAAAAAGGTGAAAAATAAATTTCAATTTCCTAGGCCTAAATTATATTCATATTTAGGGCATTCTCTTCCTCATCGAAGCATTCAGATAGAGAATCAATGGATTTAAAAGTATTTGAATTGACTCAAATAAATAATTGGTACAAAGTTGAGGGACCATTATGATAAATAGTTACGGCACAGTCCACTTTGGAAAAGGAATCGACAATTAAGGAAAAAGAATATTTTGGCAATTAAAAGGTGGACTCCTAGTGGAATTAGGAAGAGGGTTGCGCCAATGCAATTAAAATTAGGACTTCTCATGCAATTAAAAATTTATTGGTAAATTGCGTATACACATTGCAAAGGGTCAACAAGACTAATGCTGGAAATTCTAGCAGCAAGAGAGAGAAAATTGGTCTCCAGAGAGAAGAAGTTTGGTTGGTCTAGTTTTTTAGGGAGATGTTGATAAGGTGAAATCCCCACCCCCCCCCCCCCCCACAAAAGCCAATCATAATAACTTAAGGCAAGAGATTTTAGGTCTACTTGCATAAACTTGATTGTGGGATTAGACATTGTCTCTTAACTAAGTTTATTGATTTCAAATGTTAGTAAATGAAAGGGATGTAGGACCTTACCTTCACGAATTTCACACTACTAAAACTTACCAATTGAGTTTGAATTATGAATAATATTATCTAGTATTAGTGATGTGAGTATACAATTATAGGTGACCACACTTGATAAATTCAATTAAATAAATCATATGATATTGTATTAGAGTGAATTTATCATATAATGTTACAGTAGCCATCTAAATTGATACCTGATATTAACGATGCTGAATAATTTTACTCTTCACATGTTATGGACTTAAACATTGAGGATATTCAATCAATTGATTTTATTTATGTCAAACAGCGCGTAGGTCATTTATTAATTGGGCTAAAAATCAAAATACAAGCTCATGAATTGAATGTGTCATCCCTTCCAAAATAAAATTATTTCCATTTAGATTTGAAATAATGTTACTAGCATATAATAGAGTTATATAATAATTTACCTATATATAACGTGTAAGAAAAAGAGTGGAGAAGTTATTTATTTATTTATTATTAATTTGGTTCAAGAAATTCTAACACAAATACATCTCACCACATCATGTGTATATAAATTATTATGTACATATAGTACATCATTAGATTAGTATTATCAAGTAAAAAGTGTATTTAGGAAATTTCAATCATATACTCATCTTAAATTATAATATATTTCAATGAATTTTTAGAATCAAATATGTCATTAATATTGATTGTTATATATCATCAATATATAAAAATACAAAGGACGTGTTTGATGTATCGAATGTGATTGAATGAATACGGTTAAAATAGAGGTCCGTATATTAAAATTATCTATTCAAATTCGTTGAACCCAAAATCCGTTAGTAA